GCAGTCTTTGGTTGCAAAATCAATGAGCAGAAAAGATTAAGGAAAGAAAAGAAGGGAAAATATGCATGTCCCTTTTATTTCACATCCTGTAATTTCTCCTCCTATAAAGTAGTATAAAACATGGTGAAATTAGGCAAAAAACCCAAAAGAAACAGAAGGGCATTATATAGGGGTCATCCATTCCTATATATGTTATGTTAGTTGATTACTGTATTGATACAAATAACATTGAATACATTCTAATTCAAGTAGGAGGTGCTTGAGAATTCGCCTATATCTCTGTCTTCTTACGGTTCCTTTTATCTATGCCACTGCAGAAAATGCAGCTGATATAGCCAATCAGCTTCTGAATCTCACTGGTGAAGGACAGCAGCTGACCTCAGACAAAGTAAATGATGTAGTTCAGAAGCTCAAAAAAATTGTGAATGATGAAGACATTGATGCATCTTTGGGTTCCACTGTGGTGACCATTTTTTCCAATATTCTCACCAGTTCAGACAGTGTTTTGGCTGCATCATCTTCTGAGTAAGTATATATGAATTTCAGGAAGAAGACTTAGAGAGGATTTCACTACCTGTCTGGATATGAAGTCATAAAAACCTCAAGCGTTTGATATCAGGATATATAAGCTATAAACAATTCAGCGCAAATATTTTGCTTAAGTTTCCTGAAAGAAGTTTTTCAAATAAGTGAGATTAGTAAAAGATTTATTTTTAAGGGGCATGTCTACACATGACGCTACATCACCGTAACGATGCGCTATGGTGATGTAGCATTGGCAGGCAAAAACTGTGATGGCACAGCTACATTGCCATAGTGACATGCTCCCTCAGTATAGCGCATTGCTATGCCAATGTAGCAGCTAAAAATAACAGTACGCCACGCAGATGGTGTTACTGCTCCATCATTTAGTACTTCCAAAAGGAATACACTATACCAAGGGAGCACATACTTCCAAAAGGAATACTGAGTGATGGTCCAGTAACAACAGCACCATAGGGGCACATGTAGACGTGTCCAAGATATTGCAATACTGAAATTAATTGGCTTGATAAAAGGTTGTTCTGGTGCAGCTTCAAGACAATTCCAAAATGAAGTGATATCATACACTGTAACTCTTAATATTATTGTAATATTATTCTAGGCTAAAGAAAGTGAAGTCAGGTGTGCAGATCTCTGCCTGATGTAAATCAGCATGACTATGGTTATGCTTTCAGCATATCTACAGCAATTTATACCTGTTGAAAATCTGGCCTGGGGAATTCAGTTATCCAGCTCCTGTTGAGTTTATAAAAATAGTGACAGAAGTGCAGTCAACACTCAGAGAAATTGTCTAAAATGAACACATTCACTTTTCTGCTGCTGTAATACAGGTGTCATTTTTTATTTGGTTTGGTTTTCTTCTTGTCAACTTTGTTGACTTTTTTGTAATAATTTTCTTTATGTTTTTAGAGCTCTAAAAACAATTGATGCCTTAGCCTTAAAGATTCAGTTCACTGGACCATCTATGAGTATTTCTACTCGGAATCTAGCTCTTGGAGTTTCTTCCATGAACTCAACTTCATTCAGAGGTTCTTCCTTCAGTGTTGGTTCTCAGAACAATGCTTCAGATTTTCAGGTACAAAACCAGCAGCATTAAGTCCTTCTGGTGTCCAGAATTATTATTAGATATGTATGTCCTAGAAGGGCATACATGTCACAATCAGAATTATATATTTCTTTTCCTCCCCCATTATTCCAAATGAATTAATTTAATATTTCCCTAGATGATGGGAAACCCAGGCTCAGTTTTCTTTATGATTCTTACATATTAAAAATGTTTTGTTTGAATAGTTCAAATGTGTTCCAGTTGAAAAATGTTTCAGCCTCTAACAGTTTCCTGAATTGGACTCTAGGATTATATTATACTAACCAAAATATTTAATTTAACAGTCCTGCATAACTTCACTATAAACTGCCTATTAGTTTCATAGTGTGCTGGTGCTGCTTCTTGGGTTAAATGTGCTTACAGATATATAAGAACGGCTGATGATACTGGCAACATGTATCCTATTGCTGAGAATCAGAAGTTCTTGAAAAATATTTAGCAAGAATAAGGGCTAAGGTATATTCACTAATCTGCAAATATCCCCATTTCTTTATAACATGAATGAGACAAAGGCAGTGAATTTCAGACTTCAGATTGTATGTCACTTTTGTAACTAAAATTCTACCTATAGATGGCTGAGAGAAGTTGATTGAATGTATTCCTAGGTCACCTATACAAAACAATGAACTATGGATGGTATCAGACACACAGATAAATTGTGTAATTTAACCTTTACATGTACATATGCTCAGTCTTAACCTTGGTTCCTGCCTGGAATGGGGCAGAAACTATCCCACTGCTCTTTATTCATTTTATCCAATGAATAATAAATACGAAGTGAAGAAAGGCAATTAGGATCAGGGACTGAGACTCAGGGCACTTACTCCTTTCCAAGGCAGTGTCCACTTACCAAGTCACCCTTGTTTTCCTCCTCCTGATCTCATATAACTTCCTCTTATAGGTGCACAGTGGGCCATGTTCAAGAAAAAGTCTAGTGGGTGCTTTAGGAAATGCCAGGGCCATACCTGATGGCTAATGAAATTTGTGGGGGAATGGGCAATGCAGATTTACCTCCAAGTGAGGGGCCTGGAACTTGGGTCTCCTGCTATTGGGCTAAAAATGGGTAGACCCTTTCCTCCAAACTCACTATTCATGGTTTTTCTGCATCTAAAGTTTTAGGATTTATCTAGCTCTCTGCATGTTTCTCACTGATCCTGCTCTGCAATGGAGCCTAACACAACTGGAGTGCTGCCTTCTGAGCATGTTAATAAGGCAAGTGCAGCATGAGCACGGAAATATCCATGGAGATAGATTCCAAACTCTGCATAAGTGCCAAAAATTGCAGGACGTGCCACTTAAGTGCATAACAGTGGTCTAGGACCTAACCCTAAATGTTTGCAGTCAGTTGTATCGCAGAATAAGTCATGCTTGCATGCACATGAAGTTCAGGACTTCATAGTTGTTGTGATATGCACTTTAGTAACCTCCAACGGTGATTTAATAGTGATGTGTATTATGAGCTGTGTTGTGAATTCTGTATCCCCCATAGAGGTTAGTTCTTTAGTTTTAAATTTCATCTATGAAAAATAGTGAAGAAAGCAGAGAGTGATCAAAATGAACAAAGTCCTCCATTACTATGGTAATTGAACACCTCACAGTCATTAATGCATTCACCCTTGAACTACCATGTGTGGTATGAAAGCACTGTTAGCCTCATGTTACTCCAGGTAGAAGACTGAGGCACAGAGAGCCTAGAAACCACATTTTGAAAGATATTTAGGCTCCTATTGGTGCAGGTAGGTATATAGTGGTATTTTTATTAGGTGCCTAACTCTCACTTAAATTAACAAGACAGAGATGTCTCAGCCCTTCTGAAAAAGCCTCCTAAATAACTACTTGCATCTTAGAGCACCTAAGTACATTTAAAAATCTGGCCCTGATGACTATGTCCATGGCCACCCAAGAAGTGTGTGGCAGAGCAGGGTCCTTCAGTGCTCTAACTATACTTCCTACATTTTTGTGTGCAAATCTTCTTTGGAGGCTTATGTAGAAAGGGGCAAGCAAAAGAATCCAATATGAAATCTTACTGCTGACAAATAATCAAACCTGAGGAGTTAATTCCTCGATTTGAAGCCAAAGTTATGCAAATGGTTAACAATGCTAATCACTACAGCATAAACATCTAAACAGTTACTGCTCTAATATAATAGAAAATTGTTTTCTAGTATAAATTGGCCTAGGTCCAGTCCTAAATAACTTACCACTTTGGTAAAGTAGCATGACAAATGTGTGACACTAGATAAATTAATAATAGTAATGTAAAAGACCATAAGCCTGTTAAGCATTTTTTCTACGATCTTCTGGACCTAAAATTAAATAATCAGATTTTCTGCTAGTGTAAATAGGCATAGCTACATTCACTATAATGGAGTTTCATTCATATTACACTCAGAGAATTTGGCCCATGTTTTCTCTAAATCATGCAGTGGAAAGGGCTGAAAGGGGAAAGATGCATTGTGAAGACACCTGATTGTTTCCTTTATCAATGAAGTTTTATAGATGATTTCTATCAAACAGGAGGAAATTTTATCACCCAATATTCATCCCCCATTCATGGAAAGGGGAAAGGAAAAAACTCTGAAATTGGACCTGGGATGACCTGAATTTATAATAAGAAATACCATCTGTGGCCTGAGGACATCCAAGTATATTCAAATTTTCTTGCCCTGGAATAATTTTTTATTGCTCTATCTAACCTATCATAAGGTCCAAGCTCTGACAAGTTATTAATAATGTTCTTTTTGGAGCTTAAATTGATTTTCAGCCTTTTACATTTCCAACAGCTGACAGAATTCTTAGCATCCTTCCCATCAAAAATGTCTGCAACAGCTGTGGTCACAGTTCATAGTTTCCATGTCCATCAGGAAAGATATTTTCTGTCCCCGGTCGGGGAGATTCCCATTTTTAAGCCCAAAAACTTCAGCCAGCACCATGATGATATATCCCAGGCTCTTCACAGTCTTAAAATTTCAAGTTACATGTCAGACAGTTTCTCATTTTTTTTCTCTTAAGGTGGATATCAAGCAAATGTATCCACAACAGTTTGAAAAGATTCTGTTTATTCTGATCTCTCTACAGTTCTTGCCAAACCTTGGACTAAGTTAATATTTAGCATTTCATTTGATTGAATTGTTCCTGTAATGTGTCCATGCTTTAAAAGAAACCTACACTGAAGTACACAAAATACCAAAAGAGATGTTTTTATACATGCAGGGTTTTTCTTAGATCTGCTCAAACTGTATATTGTGACTCTTTTTTCACATGGATTTAGTGTTCTGTTCTGCCTGTCAGGAATTACTTATGAACAGGTTCAGATTTTTACAAATGGATTTGTTATTCGCACTTGCTCAGCATAGTTTATGTCAACAGATATTTAAACCTGTAGCCCCTGCCCTAGTTTTATTGCTGATTGCAACTATAATTGATTACCAGTCTCATGGTTGCTTGACATAACAGATAAAGAGGAGTCTCCTTTTAAATTCATTTGTTATCTAGGCCTGTTGATTAATTGTGGGAATGCCAACAAGTAGTTTGCAACATGGCTTCAGAAGCTGTGAAAAAAATCACACATATTTCTTTGTTTTATTATATGTGATTCTATTTAAAAGTTAGATTAACATTCTTGCAAATACACCCTTGTTCTTCAAAGCATTTACTGTGTGTATATGGGAGAGACTGAAAATACCATCATTTCATTTACAAGAACTTTTATGAGCACTTGGTTTTCTGTACTCAGCTACCTCTAGTTTTGAGTTTCAAGGTAGAATGTAGGGCAGGGTGGCACGTTAGAGACTAGCTGGTTAAAAGTTTAGAGGTGGATTCTATAAAAAATTCTATTAGACACAGTGAATTATGTTATGTCCCATTATCTCCTGTGTTATAGTACTACATGGTACCTAAGGGCCTTGTCACAAGGGATACTTAGTGGGCACATCTACACGAGATGCTTAATGCACAGAAGTCTAATTCTACTGTGAATTAGCGTGTCTGGCAAAACCTATGCTAATGCATGGTAGATTTAGTCTGCTGTGCATTGTCACATAAGAAGCGTTCATCTCCGCTAACATGCAGTAGCACCAATTATTGCACATTAAGTTAGTACCTGTCATTACAGGTACTAAATGTAATGTGTTGTACGTATGGCGCATTAATGAACATGTAGATGCACCCAGTAGGTGTTAAATCTGCGCAGTATTAAAGTTAGAATGTGTTCTAAGTATGGCAATGTTTCCTATGATGTCTAATATGCATAATAGGGGTGTGCAAAACAGGCCATATTCAATTCGGATTCGGCCCAAATCAGGGATAGTGATTCAATTAGTCGATTCGGATCACTATCCATGGTTTGATTCGGCCAAATCCGAATCTGAAGATTCAGTGCTGATTCAGAGAATCAGCGGTTCATAGACACAACTTTAAATGTTTTTTCTACATACGTCGAGGTACCAGGCATGGCTCGTGGGATGGATGGAGCATGGGGGGGCACCGTGTGCTCAGCAGCAAACCCAGAAGTGGATCAGAAGTACTTCCAGTCCACTTCTGGGTCCACCAGGGAGTGCACTGGAGGCCCCCCCACACCCTCCTCCCGGCTCAGCAATCAGGCACAGGGGGACCCTGGATTCCTCCCCACAACCAGGAGGCACCAGTCCCCGAGCTGGGGGGGCCCTCCGCACACTCCCCGGCAGACCTGGAAGTTCTTCTGGTCCACTTACAAGTCTGCTGCCAAGCATGCTGGAGACTCCTCCATGCTCCTGTGGGACGCTTCATCCACCCCAGCATCTCAGCATTCACAAGCTGCCTGGTACCTTGAGGCATGTAGAAAAAACATTTAAAGCCATGTCTATGTCCAAATTGTATAATCTTTCTGATTCTATTCAGAGAGATTAAAGGGTCTCCTGATTCGATTCAGGTTCAGAGATTCAGCCACTGAATCAAGCCACATCTCCACTGAATCAAATCAGCAACTGAAGTGTCGCATAGCCCTAATGCATAGCTCACTGATAGCTAGTCCCAGCCTGGGCACTGGCCTGGAGTCTTAGTATAGTGCTAGGCTTAGGACCTGCCCTGGAACCCTCTGGGGCTGCAGGCACCTGGTTTTCAACTTCATCCTGGAGGAATCTAACAAGTGAAAGATTCAGTATCCTTCCTCCTAACACGTGTGGCTTTCCTCATCTCACCTGGAAGCTTGGTACAGCAGACAGGCCCCTGGCTGATGTCACAGCTTGGTGAGGACCGCAGATTGCTCCTATTTTCTCCATGAAGCAGACTGACAATAGTTGAACTCATGTTACTTAAGATGATCTGGAGATACTCCTCACACAACGAGTCATAAATTTGCTGTAGTATGAGCATACCTATCACATGGTTCTGCTTGAATATGAGGTTGCTTGTGTTTTAAGTGCATTTAACACATGCTAAATGTAACATGCAACACAGCCCTAAGAGACAACAGTTAAAAGAACAGTCTATGAGGAAATAGTCTGATTAGAGGTTTAACCACTGATATTATCAATTCTTCTGTTTGTAAAAGTTCCTTCACTAAAAACTATTGAGTTACAGATGAAACAGTATGCATGGTATTTTTGACCATTTCAGTCTATGCAAATGGCTTCATTCTCAGTGACTTTCACTCATAAACAAGTGTAAGATGTGTTTACACTCCAACAGAATTTCAGCACTAACATTCCAGCGTTTGCTTGTCTGTTGGTGTCAATGTCTTGTTCCAAGTGTTGGGAGAATCACCTTGCTTCTCTGCTTGTACCTATGGCGGGATGGGGAAGTAGTAGCTCTCATTTGTATGACAGTGAGGAGTGTTCATATAAGAACCTGACTGTATAGATGAATGGTCAGAGAGACAGCAGGTTCCTGGTTGTTTGACAAAATCCTGTGGAGGCTATCCTTATTCTGACTCCAGAAAGTTCCTGTTTTTTGCTAGGGCTAACTGGTGATCCCAAATCATAGGTGGAGGATAAAAATATTATTTGGGGGGCCTGAGTACACACGCACACACATACACACACACAACACTCAGCAGGTAAGTCTGCGGAGGGGTAAAGGGCAGGGGGAGAGGAAAGGGGTAGGGGGCAAATCAAGGTCCCCACAATGAGGGAGGAAGTGGGGTAGACGCATGGTGAATGGTGCCTCAGGATGGGTTGTGTGATAGTCAGAGCCTGGGCAGCTCGCCCAAGGGTGCAGAGGGACTCCCTCCACTGTGTGCACCCTAGGGGAGGCACAAGGGGCACATGCCTTCCAGATCTGAGTGCAGGGCGCAGGCAGGGCCTGCTTGCCTCCGCTTCTGCCTGCTGGGGCTCTGTGCTCAGCTGCCACTGACTCAGCAGCCACGCAACGCCATGTGCCTGCCTCTGCCACTCTGCACCGTGTCCCTTGCCCACCCAGTGGCAGCAGGCACATGGCACTGCACAGCTCCCAAGGCAGAGGCAGTGGGGCATAGAGCTCCAGCCCATAGTGGAAGGCAACCTCTTCCCCACACAGAGATCTGGGGGGCATCTGGGAGCCCCCCTGCATCCCTGGACAAGCTCCTTGGGCTCTGACCATCCCACAACTTGCCCTGGGGCCCCATTCACCCCAGCCCATGCCTCTGTCTCTGCCTCACTCTTTCCCACACTGTGGGGGCCTCAATCTGCTTTCCCCCTTCCCCTTCACAAACTTGCTTGCTATGGTGGGCAGTGCTCCACAAATTGCTGGGCTGTGATCCTGGCTGCATGCAGGCTGTGGCTACATGTCTGTGCCTGTGGGCATCCCCTGCTGCAGCTTCCTGGAGCCCACACACGGGCTGCCCTGTGGTCCTTTGCACTGCCACCACTGCCCTGCATTTGGGGGGCTTCACCGCGTTAGTCAGGTCTTCCGTCACCTATGCCCTAAATGTCATTTTTTAAAAAATCTTTGTTTTTCCCCACCTTCCCCAAATTGTTTCACAAGGAAACTGGGAAATCTGATAAGCTCTGACAGAGTTCAGAAGGGAAAGAATTAAATCTTTGTAAATGATGAGAAACAATGTTAATCAAACACAATTGTTACTATGCATTTGTTAATATAAACAGGATTCCAAAAGTAATGGTCACTTACCCTTCTTAAATATGAATGATGCTAAATAGAAACATAATTTTGAACCCATAAGCAACATCTTGAAATATAGTAGATTGAACATCCACAGATACATCACAAAGCACCATCTAGATCTTCTGATGAGTATCAAACTGCTAAGCTAATATGTAAGACGTGAATAGTAGTGATATCACCATGATATCATTTAGGCACCAGAAGACTCGAGGCTCTGGATCCTGAGTGGCTAGAGGTATCAGATGTGTGCCCTGAGTCAAGCAGCTAAGATCCAGAGAAGGGCAGAGTTTCCACACTCCCCTGGGCTTATGGCTTCCTGTTGGCTAGGTCAAGACAGCTCACCATTTAGGCCTAAATCCTATTTTGTGTTATGTATTTAAATAGCTCATGACTAGTTTTTGACAGTTACACATAGGCTGCACAAGTCTACTAAGCACACTTAGTAGGCCTGCACTCTGGTTGGGCAGCTGCTTGGCAAAATAAAATCACCTTCATACATAAAAAAGTGGGTAAATCCCAAAATTTAAGTTGCGTGAAAACCCTTTGGCCGTTGTATGTTAGAAGAGGAACATCTCCTATCTTTCTCCTCGAGGTGTGTAGAAAAAACGTTTAAAGTTGTGTCTATGGCTGAACCGCTGATTCTCCAAATCAGCATTGAATCTTCAGATTCGGATTTGGCCAAATCGAATCATGGATAGTGATCTGAATCAACTAATCAAATCATTATCCCTGATTTGGGCCGAATCCGAATTGAATATGGCCTGTTTTGCACACCCCTCCTATGCATATTAGACATGATAGGAACCATTGCCATAGGAGATAGCCTGGTGGTTAGGGCACTTGCCCAGGGAATAGAAGGCACATCAACCAGAAGGAGTATGAAGCTACATGTACAGCAGAAGTGCTATAAACCCCAGCAATAGGCAAGAAAGGTATTATCAAGGTCCATCTCCATGAGGGGAAAGGAGGTATGGTACAGTGAGTGGAGCCTAGAACCTGTGCTTGCTTTCCATGTAGATTCTGTACCCACTACTGAGCTAAAAGGTGGGAAGATGCTCCTCCACTGCTACCATCACCTCCACCCTTCTGTAGGCTCAGGGTGAGTCTATTTTGCCACAGGGGAAAATAGAACCCTAAACTGTGCATAGTTGCCCTAAACTCTAGTTATATGGCAGCATATGTGCCACATAGGCACATACAGCAATAGATGTTGGCCCCTAGTATTTAGACTTCATCAGTCACCCTGTGGAACTGTCTGTCCTTTCATTGACAATATAGGAGCAAAGCTTCTTGACCTAATTTCTTTGAAACACGCTCTTGGGCCAGCTGTCCAATTTTTAGAATACCAAAACCTGAATTGGAGGTGCCTGAGCACCAATCTGAATTTTGTCCTGTAACAAAAAAAAGATTAAAACAAATTAGAGCTATTTTATTTTGATCATGCTTCTGAATATGAAATGACTAAATATGATCATTCTGTGCCTCTACTATGACACTTTAAATATAACCAAAGCCCTGTCTGTTCTGTGAATCCATGAAATTTGTCACAGAATCAACTTCTCTCAGTTGAACTATACTCTCTAATCCCTGCAGTTGTGAAGAAAATCTTCTAAATCCATTTATACACTAGAAAGCCCATACCTTCTTGCTCCTACAAAGCAACAGTATACAGGCACTTGCAAAACTGCAAGTACTAATGTAAAAAGGAGCCAGAATAATTCATGATTCAGTGGCAAAAATGCCTGATCTGTGCCCATGCCAGCGCTCACATTGCTACTAATATTTCTGCCTCTCTCACCCTCTGCAAAAATAACTGCAACTTTTTCTAGTGCAAAGGCACCTAAAACATGAATTAAGCATAAACTAAACCAGTCAAGCAATGGCCCTGCTCTACAATTATGGCCAAGGAACAAGCAGCACCACTCATGAAAAGAGGATGTACAAATGCTCTGTGCCTTCTCTTGTTGGATATATATTAGAATAGTTTAAAGGATGTAAATTATTCTGAAAGCCATTTTTCTCAAGGCATCAGTACAGCCACTCAGGATCAGTTTTGCTTACCACTTTTGTATGACACAAGCCTGTGTTCATACAAGGAAGTTGTGAAAATTTACCAGACCACTATTTTGGATAATAGCAGTCCTCATCTGCCTCTATGCCCTATGTATGTCAATGGCTATTCTAGACCCGTACTCAGATTATATTAGATGGATGCATCAATTATAATGGACGTTCAAGGATTTTTTTTAGTCTAAACTGGTATTTCTTGTTTTTATATAACAGATAGATTTTGACAAGCATCAGTCAAATGCCCTGGCTTCCATTTTTCTGCCATCAAGTTTACTGATGAATTTAAGTCAAGATGAGTTTGAAGCTGTTTCCAGGGCTCAGTTTACCTTTTTCAATAAAAATGGACTTTTTCAGGCAAGTATGAATATGTATGAATTCATTTCACCTGAACTTGAATCAAATGAACCTGCCAAAATTATCCTGAAGTATAATTACTTTTTCATATCTTACAAGTTACAGAAATGCCATGGTAAAAATACAAATCTGTATTGGGAATAAACTTTGCATATAAATGATGACTAGATTGCCATGGTACTGAAGTTGTGCATATTAATCAGAGACTCTACTGTAAACCTCACCTCAAGGAAAATTTCTTATCTGTGACATATGGCATAAACTTTTGCTCATAATAATCTAGAAGGAATTGAGACTCCACTTGTTGTATAATCAGAATTAGTTTACAGGGCTTTAAAAGAGCATCTATTCACATCCACATTTCACTGCAGTCAGCTGAGGCATGCTTTTTTACCCAAGTTGGAATCTGGCCTTTAATAGTGCTCAAACTATTTATTTTCCTTCTTTATTTTTATTCCTTTAAAGAAATAATCATGACACTGTTAAAATTCCTCTCTGTGGAGAAAACCAGCATAAAACCTAAACATCCATTCAAGTCCCACTTAAACCATTGGTCTGGTTTGGTACTCCAGGGACAAATTTCACTCAGGAACAGTACTACATATTTGCATTCTCAAGACACACTTCATTTTCATACTACATATTGTTCTCTGTACAGCAGAGGTAGAAATATTCAGATCTGAAAATTAAGATGATTGACACACACATGTTTTTTTTCTTTAAGTTTTATCATATGATAATTGTATCCATTTTCAGGTTGTCTTACACCACTGAGTTAGGAAGATCCCAATCAAGGGGAAAAATCCTCTACTTCACAATGATACTGAGTTCATTCAGAGGAAACATTGTTTTCATAATGAGAAATGTTTTTGGCTTGAGTTTGTTTTCCCATTAGTATTTCAAATGACCTTTGGCTCTTGTGCATCCGCAAAACTCTAGTATTGTATTGTGTGTATATTATCGTTTTTATTGGCACTGTATCTAGATGCTCCAGATAAGCTAGGCTAGCAAATACCCATGACCCACAATTGCCTTCTGAAATACACCCTGCAATGTCTGTAGCTGTTTTATATGGTATTCCTTTTTAATTTTTTTTTCTGGAAAACAGGATGATACAGTGAATAAAGAAAACAAAAAAACATGTAACAGTAGGTTTGTCATAATGGCCCACAATCTATATAATGACAAAACATGTTATTTTATTAAAGGACACTAAATTTGTTCTTCATGAGGTCCAATCATTAACCTTAGTTTCTCTGTATTTTAGATTTAGGGATAAAGTTCAACCATAATGATTGCAATCTACAGCTAATAACACCCCCACACATATCTGTTGAGCATACAGATGCTAAATCACCATAAAATTGATCTGTCTGACTTCTTAACAGGTGACCCTGAATGGCAATAGAATGTCCTTTAAATTTAAAATAAAAGGCACTTGATAGGTAGAAAGTGAAAACTTAGATCTGGGAAAATCCTTTTCAGCTATTTTTTCTTGAAAGCTTTATTATAAAGCTGCACGGCTCCACCAGCTGCTCCAGTGGGGGGGG